CATAAACTGGTGATCTCATACTTTACGCAAGCTTATACCAGTGCCAGCCGCGACCGAATGTAGGTGAATTAGGGAATGGGTAGAACACGTGATGCCTGCTTTGTTGGAAGCCGAGAACTCATTGAGATGTTGGATGGAAGGATAAATGGCAAATGTTACGCAAAACGGAGCATCAGCAGATAAGTTGTATCGAAGCCATTTACATGAAATGACCTTCTCAGCGCAATTCTACCGTGATTTTCGACCGAGATCGAGATAATGTCACATGTTCTATTACTTATCCTACGCACAAGTTCCAACTGAATTCTATAGCAATTAACAGTGATTTACAATATTCTTACATCCTTGCATCAATTTGCAATATCATGACAATATTATTGTTAAAGCAAATATCGATTTTAAAATGTAACGTGACCTAAAACTTAATACTTTATCAGATTTTTTTATTTCAGGAAGTTCAAGAATCTTGAAGTATTGTATAATTTTAGATACCTACTATGATTTACATATTTTTATGAGCGTGATCTTCAAATCATTTCAAAGACTGTTTTAAATTTCAAAGAAATTTTTCGGGTCTGTTAACGCTACTAGAAAAAATACATACGTGCCAAAAACACGAATTTTGAAAACAGAAAGAAAAAAGTTTGAAAGTATTTTAGACATTTTGAAATGTAATTAATTAAGATTCGACATATTTTTTGAAAAAAGAAAAAAAGAAGCATGAAGAAGTTTTCAAGATTCTAGTACAAAGATTCAGATATCGGATCTTGAAAGGTTTTCCAAAATCCCTGATTTGAAAACAAATATCAATATTATGGACCTCATAAAATTTTCAAGATTCATGGGCTAGAAGAAAACATTCACGATTCTGGAAATTTGTGGCATTATTTTGAGAATTTCTGAAGAATTTGATGTGAATTTAAAGGGAGTATTCTAAAATGCGTCCAAGATAATTATTATGACCTTTGGATTCCTTGTAAATGCTCGAAAGATTTCCAAGGAAAATTCTTTGAAGAATTCCTAGGTAGGAGAAGTATTCAAACCAGAAGGGCTTCAATTTAATTCTAAGTAGAATTCCCAAGTGAGAAGAAAATTTAAACGAGTATTCAAGCATAATTTCTCAGAAAATGTGAGCATAATTCCATATGAGCATTCCAATTGAATTCTGAGGAGAAATTCAACGGGAGATCAAAGCATGATTTCAACAGAGAAGATGAAAAAGCCTAATGAATGTCAAAGTTTATTGACTAGGAATTGTGAGGAGAGTTTCAGGTGAATTTCAGAAAGAATTTTAAATGGATTCTGAAGAGAATTCCAAGGGAGTTCTGGCTACAATCTCAGGTGAATTATAAGGAGAATTCGATGGAAGTTCTGGAGATAAATCCAAAGTAAATTTTAACTGAATACCAAAGGAATTCTGAGATTTCCATTGGTGAGCCTGAAAGAAATTCCATGGAGTGTTCGAATGCAATTCCTTTGAAAATTTCATGGAAACTAAAAGTGGAATTCCATGAAAGTTCTGAAGCATATTTTGAGGAATTCGAGAGCATATTTCAAAAGTAATTTGAAGAATAATTCCATTTAAGTTTTGTACGAATGTTAAGAAAATGCTGATGATAATTAAAAAAATCATATTTTTGTGATGATTTTTCTAATCAGGAGAGGTAAACAAATTGAATACACCTATAGATCTAAATTATGTCTGCAGTTTATAATTACTTCCCATTTGATGAAATAATAAAATACCAATGTAAATACAGATCATTGAATAAAAAATGCACAAACGTTCACGCAAATGTATGCAATATATAGTGCACACATATTTAACACAAGATTTGGTGTAAACCTACACGATATTTCATGTACCAATGAAATTTCAAATAATTCAAAAATTTCAGTAAGCACCGATATCGATGTTTGCACCAATTAGTGGAAGACGGGGTAAGAACGCCCGGCGGGGTAAGAGGGAGCACAGCCAGTTCTATATGAAATCCTCAAGATTCTTACCAATACTCAATACAGAAAAGATTAATAACATGTTTTTATCATTCTGAAACACCTTGTAGCCCCGAACTTATTAATCTTCAAAACAATAAATAAAAGCAAACTTCTCGTTCGGTGCAGCTTTTACGATCTAATTTTGAAAACAACAAATGTAAGACTTTTTGATGAACACACCATACTCAATTTAACCACCAATGACAATTTTTAGAGTTCTCACGTGATTTGACGGGTCGCATGATGGATTTCGAGCTAATATTATTGTTGACCACTTCCCTGGGGGTACCCAGAACATGTCAGGGCGTAGAAAATGAGGCCCTGGGCACACAATATAACTCATATTGTTTATGATCTAATTCTCATGTGATTTGATGTGTCACAATATAGGGTTGTATCGTTTTTGATCATTTCTAGATCTGTGCTCACAGGACTTATGGTCACTGGAAACTGTTCCGGCCATATCTGTGGAACCCGTTGACCGATTCCAAAGATATTCACTTTGTGACGCGCTTGTTGCGTCCAATGTTGTGCAACAGTTGTCGAAAAATCCGCTATGGTCCGTCTTATCCAATGGTGGTCCTTCTTACCCCGCTTGTAAAAGAACGAGTATTTTTTTATCTTTCCAAATCGGTTCTATGGGAATTTTATATAAACAAAATAAAATTTGTTGCACCTAAATCAGTTTAGCCATCACTGAATAAAGTGGTTGAGTAACACAATTGGACTGCAAACTAAACTATTTTTTTTAATATCTCCTGAACCAAATGTCTGATCAGGATACAATTCAATTCGGCTCTATGAGAGGCAGATACAACTTCTTCTTCTTCTTCGCATTTCAAGCTTATTGCATATCGCATTTTAGCTAATTGCGTGCTCTCAACTTAGTGTTCTAGATGCACTTCCACAGTTATTAATTGAGAACTTTCGATGTCTGTACCATTTTTGCATTGGTATAATTGTGTGGCAAGTCCAATCATACTTCTATGCCCAGAGAAGTCGAGAAATTTTCCAACCCGAAAAATTCCTAGACCAAACCGGGAATTGAACTCAGCCACCTCCAGCATGCTCTTGCTTAGTAGCTGCGCCTTTACCGACTGAGCTAAGGGAGGATGATACAAGCAAAATTTAATTTCGTCATCTTCGAGAATAGCACATACACAGCAAAAGTAACACATCTACGCACTTATATACATATATCGCTCGCAGAGACATTTGCAGATATTATTGAGCTGAGCCAATTGGTATATCACTCTTTCTACGTGACGTTACAACGGGTAATTGATAAAGAGTTTATGTATTGAATAGCTCGAAACCTTTTGATAAGTAGTTGTTGAGTAGGATTAGTCGAATTATAACTTTCCACAGTTTCCAATACCATGCGCTCTTCTCCACTTAGCTTCGACTTCAATGTGCAAAAAACTGAGGAAACCACATTTTGTTCCTCTTTGAGAAATGTTTTGTCCTGATTGAATGCGTTGATGCAATGATTCAAGAAATGCATGCTACTTGATTGTTTTTTATCGAAATAACAAAGAACGAAATAATAACAAGCCTGCTTGAGATCATGACTATGTATGTAGGAAGTGTCCGTCTTTGGCAAAGTTGTTTAGCTGAAGGGGAAGGTGCAGGTGTTGGAAGGTTAGTTCAGAATTATCTCACTACGCAGCACTAGTTTTCTTGTGAACTTCATGATTATGTTCTGATAATTCAAGAAGTTTCCCGAGGCTGAAAATTTCTTTATTTAAAAATAAAGACCTATGAAATTATTGTAAAATTTCATGTGATTGTAATCTTCAGCATGGGAAACAGGTGGGTTCAAAATTTTCTCACTACTCTTTGTATGTATGTTTATCATCAGGAAATTCCAAGTCATCTGACCAAGGTTGCAGCAGACGGCCACTTTCTAGATGGTCAGGCTTTTGAGATATAGCACATACTGGCAGTTCACATTCATACTTGCGCCACGTATTGAGAAGATTGTGAACTAATTTGTTTACTATCCAAAAAGCGTTGATTGCCTTAAATTATTTGCCGAAAACAGCAACTTCTTAGATGATCAGGGTATCAAGATATAACCTATAGGTACATGAAGCGCCGCATAGTGAGATAATACCAAATTTACCTGTTCACCATTCGGAAAGCCTTGCTCATCTGTTATGTTATTCCTCATAATTTAAAGAAAACTTTAATTTTTCCTAATAGTAACATTGTGTGTTTTCCTAATAGTAACATTACGTTTACATGGTACGTTCTGTAATCACAAAACAACAAGTGCCAGCCACCGCCATAAACAACGTTTTTTTTTTAACATTTCGACGTTTCATCTGTTATCAAATTAAAATGTGTTTTACAACATAAACTATACTGTAACAAAGAACTCTACATATTTTATATTTTAAGAGTTTATTGTATCAATAATTGAAAGGGTTGCCGTCTTACCTCCGGTGACTGTCTTCCCCCGTCATCTCCTATTATTAATATTTTTGTTGGGTACTGCGGACTCAATCGATTTTATTTTGCCAGCCATGGGAAAGCTGCTTGAAAATTTCTTTAAGTATCATATTGTTTAGCTGAAACTCTGATCCATGACTACTTGAACCCCCAAGACTCTCATAAACTTTATTTACATTCCTGTTTTGCAAGAGAATGTTTTATTGGAATTGCAACCCTGCTGAGTCATCAAAACTGTACTGGTTTCCATGCTTTCTTCACTGAGCCTTTTGGTTTCTGCCTTTGAGCTTACATTTAATGTGTTCAATGAAATGACACTACTTGAAGACAGATAGGAATAGTAGCTACATTTGTGGTTTCTGAATTTTTGGCTCCCGTTTGACAGTTCATACTGGCATATTAAGTGAGTCTGCAGTACTCAGCTTTTTTACACATACATGTGGCTGTGTAAAAGTTGGACCTTAAATTTCAGTGGTGTGTTTTACACCATTTGCTCCTAGTAATGAGAAGCTCTAGCATAACGATTAATGTCAGCATTCTCGTTCTAGATATGCATCATCATGTAAAGGCCGAGCACGACAAGGACGACGATGACGATGATCTCACTGACGACGAACGGAAGCCGGAAAACTTAATAGGGCATCCGGGACATCTGGGGCAGCACCATCCGTACTACCACCATTCGATGCTCGGGGGACACCACCACCATGCAGGACTCAAATCAGAAATGGACCATCCAAAAAACCAAACGGGCAGCGACTGTGGAGTGCCGATTCCAGCCTCAAAGCCGAAAATTTGGAGTCTGGCAGACACAGCCGCTTGCAAAACCCCACCACCACAGGCACTACACAGCTCCTGGATGACCGGCGGCTATCACCCAGGACAGCACCACCAACAGCAACAGCATCAACAACAACAGCACCATCTACAGCAGCAGCAGCAGCAACAGCACCTCCAACAGCAGCAGCAGCAACAGCAGCACCAGCATCAACAGCATGCGGGCAGTGGGATGATGATGGGCGGCGGAAGCTCCCCTATGAGTATGAATATGGCAAATACACCTCACAATCAAGGTATGGGGACTATGGGCAGTGGTATGATGAACAATTTCGCGAGTACCCCTTATTCCCGTTATGGGGGGTTTCTAACAGGAGCTCAACACTACAATACTACCCACAACAACAACAGCAGCAGCAACACCACCAACAACAGTACCAACAGCAATACGAGTACGGGTCCAGTGACGGATGCTACAACGCCCACTTTGCAACAACAGCAGCCGCAGCAGCTTCAGCAACAGCACCCACAGCAAGGGATGCTCCAGCAGCAGCTACCCCAACAAGCTATGAACACCAACAACAATACCCAGTCGATGGGGTTTCCCGAGGTTCAGACCGACACCCCTCCTCAAACCCCGCCGAATATGAAGTTGCCCAGCGTGGCGGGGAACCTTCTTACGGCCTCAACAACCCCTACGACAGGTACCTGCTATAATACCGCTGGCAATCCCAATAGCAACAACAACAACAACAACCTCACCCCTAATAACAACAACCTAAATCAAACGAACGGCTACGCGTCCTCGCCGGAATCGATGGGACAGTCCAACAATCAGCAAGGACAACAGCAAAACACCTACTATCGAATGCAATCAAATTCACCGCAAAAATCCCAGCAAGACTATTCGCAGCAAATGCTTCATCAGCAAGACGGTTTCAAGCCGTTCTACAAAAAGTAAGTGGTTTTCTATTTCGCCGGCCGGTCGGAGACGGCGGCGCGTTGGAATGAATAATTTATGAACAATCAATTTTCGTCCATTTTAGCACACCACAAGTCGGCAACGGTTTCGTTTCTCCAGTTTGAGCAGCATCAGTAGCAGCGTACGCATTCGGAAGATTAGAGGAAGAGCTGATGAGATTTAGTGAGAATACCACCGTTCGACATCCTTAGTTGGTCGCATAATTCCACCACATACGAAACACGAGCTTTCAGGTTTTCTGGTTTCTGCGCACGCACACATACACACTGAGGCGTCACATTTTCGGCTGCTCCGAGTAAAAGCGTTGAAAGGTAATTTTGGATTTTTGGTTCATTTCTTCCTGTTGTGTCAAAGTTCATTCTTCGTCCACGCGCTCCTTTCGTCCTCCCACTCTATCACGGGTCTACGCACTTGTCACCGCCATCACCATGGCAGCGTGATGCGAATTTGATAAATGATGCCGTCGTCGGTGTCGTCGTATATCTGAAGGCAAGAACAATCATCCCTCTTATCCCTCAGCGGATCGACCCGGCGAGGCATTTGGCTTTCTGTTCCCTTATATAAATGTTTAGATAAGGCCATCGCTCATCCACGTGACAAAATTAATGTTTGAAACTTTTCGCTCGGGATTAGTATGGTGTATGTGCTGCGGGTCTATGAAAGTCAGTGCCTCTTTCAACCGTAGAATCACGTGCACCATCCGAATTTTACTAGAATGGATCTAATCTCACCCCCTACCATCCATGCAGATTTGCCATCTAGATAGCTGTGCATTTGCATCGCGTCAAAACATCGAGGGGACGACACAAAGTCAATGCCATCTTCGATGTTAATTTATATTTGTTGATTTTGGGAGCGTGCCACCATCCAAACACTTGTTCCATGCTGTTCTTGAGGTTTTATTTATCATTGCATTCGATGTTGTAAAAGGTATCGTAGGACAAGTGTATTAGTTCGAAGGCAATGAAATCGATAGAGCATTAGCTCACACGAACTTACTTCACACATCATTAGCTTCTCCTTGGGAATCCAATTAGCGCACTGGTGACCCACGCCTTTCTGAAATGCACAACAATCTATTACCATTTCCGAAACCGTAAGACCCAACGGGCAGAGTAGAGAAGGAGCGAAAGGTTTTCCAAAAACCGCTCGAGATTTATTGTATTGCTCGATCATCATACATTAATCTTGGCGGCTTCGGTGGTTTCCGTCAAAAGGCCCACGGAATAAAATGTGACGCTTTTTTGTTCTTTCCCTTGTTGTTTATCCTCGCATCCGTCCTTGCGTCTGATTAAGATAGACGACGGTCGTTCACCACACCACAACCGAAGACGACCAACCAACCAACCTCCCGCTCCACTTTCCCATCAAATGCTAACCGCAATCATAAGTTCGAATGTTTATGAATGAATTAATACAAGCATACCTACTAGTTAGCTGAAGTCAGGGAAGATCGGTTCTAGAGTTCAAGATTGTGCGGAACGATCTTCCCCGCACGATACTGTCTCATTAAACGACGATGAAGCCGCGCAGACTGATCGGCAGCGTAGAATTCCTTATGCCGGACCATCCAACCTTTCCGTGCACGGTTAAAACAAAAGAGAGCGAAGGGAACCATCGGCTTAGGACATTTTTCTTTGACTTTATTTTTTAAAGTAAATAAATAAAGCCCACGCGGTCGGTCGCTTCTCCATCCGCGTACCTACTCACACTCGTTCGGTGACCGGGACGACGGACAGCCTTTGAGAAATCCCACCATCGTAGACAGTGCGACTGTGGATCGGTTTTTTTTTTTTTGGGAGCGGCATTTAATATGCGCGCGATCGAGAAATTTTTTCTCAAACATCCATAAATCAGGGAAAATATCACCGGATTTCTACGGCAAGCGAGTCAAGATCAAAGTTGACGTTCGGCACATTATTCAAAGAGTTCTAGAACCGGTTGTAACCCAGTCGAAAGATATGCATGGACTGTGCGTGTGGTTTTAGTCTAGCATAGCAATTAACCCTTTTTGTTCTAAGCTCAACCATGGAGGCACCGATGCGATTGATTAGCTAGTTTAGGCTATCTCTTCCTAACTGAAGGGGTGCGCAGTGTTGAAATTGATATTTATTGATGCTGGTTGTTTATTTCATTATGGGTGGTTGCAAATCGTTAAAAATAATAAAGTCGAGAGCGAAGATTACCCTCCCTCTTTGCAACGAGATTCTAAACGGGCATATACGAGCCGTACACCACGTGGCGAATTTCGTTTTATATAGAGTAGAGGGTAGCTCGTCGCAGAATTTCACGAACGGATCTACAGTATGCTGTGGTTGATTTATGTAAGAGTGCTCCCGACGTCTAAATTATACCAGACGGGGTAGGCTTATAAAGAAAGGATTTATGAATACTTTTTGCCAGCAGCTGATGCAAAGTGTTTTTGGCTATCTTTCTGGGGGATGATGCAAGGATTCCACTGGTTGAATGACGTTTTTACGCGCGGCTTAGGGTGATTCTTTCGACAACCATTGCCTGTTAGTAAAATCTATACAATTTTATATGTCGTTATGCCTGTTCCTCAAAAATCCACCGTAAAGCTTTCTTGTAAAATTATTAAAAACCTAATCCAGAAGATATATCAAAATTTAGGTTTTGGATATTAACGGTACCATGCCCAAGTAACCAACAAGCACGCTATTTCGCCGTTATACACGGCTAACATAGGGCATGCTAGGCTTTATATTAGCCGCATATTAGCCTTACATTGCAAAAAGGTGAATTAGCGGGCTTGTTGGTTACTTGGGTAGGCATATGGTGCCTGAGGGTTTTTAAAATAATTATGTTAGATGAACATCGACGATGGCCTTATTAAGTTGTAAAAAAATCCAGATTTGAGGATTTGAGGTGTTCGTAAAGTCATAGGCACATTATTATAGTGAATCCTTGGAGATTCTAATGGCTATTTCATAAGTTGAAATATTGAGGTTTTTTTTTTTAATTTTTGTTCGTAGCTGAACCTAAAACGGGTTGTTGCTGTCAAAGAAGCATGCAATGTTTATAATTTACTTATTCATACACCTCGTGAATCACATGCAAGTGCTTTAGAAATAGCGGGGTACCATAAGTTTGTTCTATGGTTTTTAAAGTGATTTTTAGCCGAAATAGCGGGGTACCATAAGTTTGTTCTATGGTTTTTAAAGTGATTTTTAGCCTAGTTCATCACAGAAGAGATGCACGAGCCTTCGGTTAAAAATCTCTATAATAAATAATCTAAAAAAAAGTTCATCACATGGGCATTATAAGTGTTTAAAATGAATCTACAAAGAAATATCTAAGATCAGTAAGGTCAGCAACATTTTTAATTTTTTGTGGATACCAGAGAACTAAGAGCATGTGTCTAAAAATATTTAAGAATCTGTCTACATGCTATAAGGCTACTCATTTTTGAGTCGCAAATCACTCACTCACACTGCCAAAAGGGAAGTTAACCAGAAATGGGTAAAAGTACTTTTACTCAAATTTAATTAAACGTGCCTATGGAGGAAACTGGGTAAGGTCTACTCAGATGATGACATTTGTCAACTGAGTAAACCTTACCCATTTCTATTGAAACGAATATATGCCCTTTGAACATGAATTCTTTATATAAAAATTATTTCGTCCAGGAAAAACAATATGAAAATGATTATTTTGTATTTATTGATACAAAATCTTTTCGTAACCCGAGTTGTAACCCATCATAAGTAGTAATCATCATGTAGTTAAAACAAAATAAGAGATAAAATATATTTTAATTGTTTTAGCCTAGATGGCCTCGATCAAATTCGAACAAACCTCGTTCGAATATTTTTTGTTAGAGATTTATCGAAGATTAAAAATCAAAAAGACCGATAACTCTGCCAAAAATCAGGAGACAGTAACGGCAACGCCTCTTCTGAGCAAAAGTGGAATCTATGTATGAAGGTGTTTGTTAATTCACGGGTGCATTCACACACGTAGGTAGTACTATATAGCTGTCAATTATTGGTTTTATTATTATTGCCGTAAAAAGTGAAACGTTTCTTTTTTTGCTTTATGCTGACAACGAGTAAAATTCCAGCTGAAATTGAACTGATGCGTAAGTAAATTTGTTTTGAAAATTAAAACTATGGCAATGATGCCCTTCACAACGATGGTGGGACCCTCCTCGATCATTGATTTGCTAAATCAGATTTCCAATTTTCCTAAGCCTTTTAGTGATGCATTTATGGGCATTCGTATAGTGCATTAGTAAAATGCATGCCCGTTCCGCATGGCTTCGGCACCTAGCCACAGTAGGGGGAGTTAAGTTGTGACGCTCGGCAACTTGGCACAGTACTCGCTGACCATTTGAATGTCACTGGCCAATCCGACACTGTTGTTATCATTCTCTGGAAGGGGTCGGTCGATTCTAAGAATTGTTAAAGCATACAGATCACTATCCAGTGGTTTCATGTTCTGACAACATCTAAAATGAAAAAAATATTCTTTATCAATACGTACCGTTTGGGATTGTAGTCCTTCAACCTTTCATTTTCATTTTCTCCAACATTAGATCCTGGGCCTTATTACGGGTGTCACTACACGGTGATAAGGAAGTGATACTTGGAATAACAGCCGTGATTGCCGTACAAATCAAATGGGAATCACTTCACCGTGACGACAAGTGACAAGTTTTCACCGTGAAGTGACATCCGTAATAAGCCCCCCTGTTACGCCTTCCGTTGGATCGTGATGTAGGTACCGGATCTTTCTTCTGCCAAGACCTTGTAATTGATTGCTTCCAACAGGCAAAATAAACAATATTTCGGCTCCTCGTTTACAAGTAAAAGCTACTTTCACTAGGTATCGATCCGAGTTTCAATCCTCTACTTGATCCACCATGACAAGTTTTTCGGTTTGGAGTTGGAAAACTACCGGCTTGCTGGGATTAGGATACAAATTGCCGTGAAATTTTGTAGAGCAATACAAAAACAATAACGAGTACCGTGTTATGATAATTCGTTTTGGTGACATCAGGTCACACACACACAGTCACTATTTATTAGAAGTCTCACTAACACTTGTGCTTCAAAGTTCCACCATTGACAGATGCGCTGTTATAAGTGACGTTTGACATGTTTATGGGAGAAGGGAACAGTTGCCAGTCTTCTTGGTTTGTAGTCTTCGGTTGTATACATCACCAACTAGCTGCTAGCGGTGCCGGTGGTGTAGTGGTAAGCGTGATTGCCTCTCATCCCAGCAGGCCTGGGTTCAATCCTAAATTTCAACAACTGAGTGAAAAGTCATTAACAAATGAGCAGTTGGTATGTACAACTGTGCATGCCAAGCATGGGAACAAGAGCTTCGTTAATCCGCAGGTTATTTTCAATTTAATGACTTGTGATGGTTGACGGTATAGGGACAGAGGCAATCGTATGTCACCATTTTTGCTAGCCATGTGATTGGTGATGTTGTTGGCTTTGACTGTTGTTTAAAGAAACCTTGAAATGTATTTTAATATACAAAGCGATATATTTCTTCTGCTTTCGTTAGCTTCATATTGCATGGCTATTTCCCTCTTATTAAGACCCTTTTCATTTATGATCAAATCTTCACTCTCGAAATCAATAATAATACTTACTTCTATTTTAGGTACCCATCAAACCCACGGAATTCACTGCAAGCATAAGACGAACTACTAATATTCATCACAATGTAAACAGGAGCACCACACAACAAGTCATCTGTTTCGATCAGATCATTACAATACAACAATTGAAGTCAATCAACTCGGAGAACCACGTGTGCAACAGGCTGCTCACTGTACCAAAAACCATGGAATAGACGCAACGATTCTCTTCGCGCAACTGTTTTTTTTTTTGTTTTCAGTTTTCTCATCACTCCATACGCCACCCTCTTTTTCTCTCGCACCCGAGCATTGTGCACTCTCACTCAGACAGAGCGGAACACTCACTAACTCTAAAGAACAATACATAAGGCAGAACTATTTCTACTACTACAAGAGATACTAACCCGAACGCTAAGAAGAACCCAAATCAGTTGTATACGAGAATGAATGGCAAACGTGTACTTTACTAACAGATAGCCGACTAATGTTTGAAACAAATTGAGATGACTTTTTCTATCCCTACTGGAAACTGGGCTATGTGCAAGAAAAGAATGTTTATAACGGAGCGATAGACATTTGTTTCCACGATGTAATCACTTTTTACTGGTAGTCTAATTTTACCGGCTTTAATCCTTAGATACGAGAAAAACGAAATGATTGCTTCATTTAAGTACGAACCGATTTTCCTCCCAACTAAGACGCTACGTGCAATTCTCTTCCCTTCCCATAATTAGTTCAGTGTCCATGTGAGCACTGTTATCGAAAGCTTTGTGAAGCAAATCAGCAAATCAATCGATTTAATTTTCGGCCTTGTATTATATTTCACCTAATGTAAAATCGAAACAAAATGTTGAGAAACGCATTTGTAATCTGTGATAACGAAAAAGTATATAAAAATATTGAACATATTTAACACTTTAACTTAAGACACTCTAAAAATTTCTTTTAGTTTGTATTTAGCGAAAAATCTTTCTTCGGCGTACAGTTTAGTTTCCGTTCAATTCGCTCGAGAGTACCATCTCCATTTGTCTCATATCAATGCAAGTGAAATCAAACCGTTGAAACCATTTCCGTACAACTTTGTTGATGTTTTGTATAAATGTACTGGATGTTAAAGAAAAGGAAAATAAGAAAGCAATGATCAATACCCTATGACACTTCAATGCAGCACCGGCTTAGAAGTAAAGATTTTCTACATGCAATCAGACGAGAAACAAAACATACCGACGTGGAATACCAAATCTTAATAACCAGATCCACAAGATTGTATAAATTTTACATAGTTCAAATCACTACTACTGATCAGCAAGAAATTGTACATACATTGTTTAAAATTTTCCATTAGACGAAATATCATTCAGTAGCAGTTGGGCATCGCTTGCCAAGTGTAATGAAGTTTTGTACATAGCAATCCTTACATCAATTATCATCTTAAGGTTAAAGAAGACTCATGAAGACAAACCGATACATGATCAAACAAAATTCATTTCCCTTTTGTGTGAAATTAGCAAACAGCGCTAAGCCTGGCAAACCATGCCACCGTCTATAGCATTTCGATAAGAAAATTTAAATACAATCGATTCACTACTTAATACACAAAATCCATGAATAGTCGACACGTCACATAAACACACAAAAGCATATATTCCGAACGATTGGCAAATTAACAGAAATTCCTGAGTAAACTTTCCTTCGTTAATCATATGTGAGCAATACAGGAAAGTCAGAATAAGGAAGTTTTGCTCTTAAAAAACAACTCTAACGGATAAATCCACATGAATGTACACTTTCATCATCCTTTGATAGTAGGAAATACTAGCCGGAATGGAAGCGACGGTACACCTATTATAATAGTTATGATAACAAAACAAAGCGAGAAAACTTATATAGTGAGGTAATGCATACAGAAAATCAGAAAACACTATAAATTATATATATTTAAACGAAAATCACTAGGAAAATAGAAGTAATAATAAAACAACGCCTAGCAGTTTTCTGAAGCGTCGTGAAATTCACATTCAGTCCCATCTCATCCACATCCATTATCAATAGATATTTTCTCTGTACAAATCATTGCACAGTGGGCAAAAATTGACAAAACCGCGACTAAATTGAATATCTCGGCTGCCAAATGGTTTAAGTCAATATGTTATACATATTCTCAAAGTAAAAACTCTGCTAAATCGATTAGAATCAATTTCATTGGCCGGAGACTTTTGCGTACCGAGATAGAGGACCGGGATCAACCCGAGTTACTGGTAAAGTAGCAAATGCCACTATCTATCGACATAATTTTACACTTTACTTAACGTATATTACTGGAAATTGATAGTACTAAGTATATATGGTGTAAAGACACCATATACGCCCTCAGGGAAACTCTACTGTCCTAAAAGAGGATCCGGAACGACCGATAAAGTGGCCACATTATAAAAATTGTCCTTGCGGTTTTTTTCTATGTTTGTTCAGAATCATGAGATCGAAGCGAATTTAATAAAGAATTTAAATTTTGGGGTAAAGTGGCCATATCCTGGTTCTGCGGATAATCTGGATTGACCGATAAAGTAGCCACATTATAAAAATGGTCCTAGATCCTTTGTGGTTTATCCATATTGTTCAGAATCACGAGATCAAAGCGTATTTAACTTCGAATAAATATTTTGGAACATAGTGGCCATATCCTGGTTCCCCGGATAATCTGGATTGACCAATAAAGTAGCCACTTCCACCACCAATCGATTCTGCAGAATTTTTCCTTTGAGAATATGTATATCATGTTGACTGAAACCGTTTAGTAGCCGATATATTCAATTTAGTCGTGGTTTTGTCAATTTTTGCCCACTGTGCATTGGATTATTCTTTTAACACTAACAGGCTAAATTTCATACCGACTAGTAGACCATTCGATGCATTCATTTTTTACTAGTTAATACGTTCCATCTGGAAGTCATGTCCTTCTTCTTCTTATTTGCTTTTCAAGCTCATTGCTTATCGCATAGTAGCTTATTGCGTGCTCTCAACTTGGTGTTCATCTACACTTCCACAGTTATTAATTTAGAACTTTCGATGCCTGTACCATTTTTGCATTAGTATTGTTTTGTGGCAAGTACAATAATACTCTATATGCCCAGGGAAGTTGAGAAATTTTCCAACCCGAAAAATTCCTAGGCCGCCTAGAGCATGTAGCTGCGCCTTTACCGACTGAGCTAAGGGAGATTGAGCTAATGGAGGCATTCATGTCCATTCTCAACTCAATGATCACAGTTTGTATCATTTTTGCATTGGTTTATTGCATGGTTGGGAGAATTAAGAATAGGGTAGAGCGCTTCTTCGTCATAATCGCCCATTTCCATTCTATCGATCAGAAAAGATCAAAAATATCAATGATTTCACCGTGCACAAAATAATAGGATAGTTCAGATGCGTTAGTTCATTAGCTACAACATAAATCTTATTAGAGTGCATTTTATGAATATTTACGCTCATTGTTCTCAGAACAAAAGAAGCGCTCCTAGTTAATCCCCTTTTTATACGTTTATCCGTAGGACGAAGAAAATATAATGGCGTTTCAATGCGTTTAGACGGAATTGAAACTCGTAGGACGAATTTAGAATCAAGAAGCAGTGTTATATATTAAACAATATCTCAAAAATTTGTTACTCTTTATCAAATTAAACGGTACGTATGGAAAGGTAAATAAATGTAGAAGTCATCTGTTACAGAAATATTCCATTTTTTGTTCAAACGCGTTCAAAAAAGAGAGGTAAAACGCGGGTTGTGCTTAGTAGGACGGAAACTAGATCAAAAACCCTACGATGTATCGGACTGCACAGAAAAAAAAAAACTTAAACCATCGCGTTAAAACCCCCTCGTTAAATTTTGAGCTTTAGTTGGCATAAACAACGAAATAGTTTACAAGATAGTTGATTTATGCAAAAATGCACTTAAATGGCGTCCTAGCTGCGTGTGCGGAATTCTCCGAAATCACATCCAGTTTGAATATTTCTCGATTACGTTTTCGAAGGGACGTATTAGCTCTTGTAAAGAATGCATTTTATCGTCGATTTGGCGTAACTGGTAGCTGGAGAAATTTACCCCGACGATCAAATGCATTGCTAACAAAAGCAGATAAGTCCCTTCGAAAAGTAATCGAGATTTGGTTCTTTATGTGCGTACACTTGTGCTGTGATGCCAACCCATAATTATTGTACTTTTGAAATTTGAAAATAATGCAGTATATTATACAATCACATAATGCTGAACTTTCAAATGTTTAGGTCCCTTTTGCCCCGGTGTTTAAGTACAAGGAAATGAGTACCTAGTGGGAAGAAATATTAATATCTACGTATACATTTCTAGTCGGAACGCTTTGTTTGGTCCAATTTGATGATGATGATGATGATGATGATGATGATGATGATGATGGTCCCATCTCTTACTACTACAATGATTTGTGCTGGACGAGTATAGTATCTTAAGCAGATTAGCAAACAAAAACGAACTGGTTATAGTTAGAGACATGATTTCCTCACGGTTTACAGTTGCTTCACAGCGATATAAATGTGATAAATCTTAGGCATCCCTTCGTTCATTTTTTGATCACCTTATATATTCAGAAGTACTTATTCCCAGCATTCAAGAGTATATTGATTATCAGTAAAGGATCCTTTTACACTAGGAACCCCGCGATATGGTATAATATTATCCATTTAGATAAACATTATCTGTACGTCACTGATGAATTGACTTCCGACGTGACTGGTGGTACTGTAAAAGTACTTTAAAAATTGACAATAATGGAGTAAGGGCAGAGGAAGGTTCAGAACTCAGGCTTCAGAACATTAATTTGGTACAGGTAACACCATAAATTTCAGCAATGTTAGGATTTTTAAATTTTATTAAAATCACATTAACACGCTTGGGTCATTCGTGACTTGTCCGGGGATGAGATTTGAACTCGTGTCTGAGGCGTGAGAGTTATGGATGTTAATCACTATGCCGGGGCCGTCACCATGTCAGGATTTTCAAGGAACTCTCGTAATCAGTCAGAAAACTTACTACTAATTCAAAGCATCCAAATAAGTTTCAATAGGGGTCTCCCTTAGCTCAGTTGGTAAAGGCGCAGCAATAAAACAGGAACATGCTGGAGACAGATGGGTTCGATTCCTCCAGGTCTGGTGAAAATTTCTTGACTTGCCTGGACATATCGTATGATTTTACTTGCCACACAATAACACCAATACAAAAATGGTACAGGCTTAGAAAGCTCTCAAATATCAACTATGGAAGTGCTCAAAAACACTAAAGGGGTTGGCTTAAAGTCCCAGTAGGGACGTAATAAATCCAAAGAAGAAGAAGCGATTGATAACCGCAGAGGCAGTTAAAAAGTCGATACAAATAAGTGTCCAATTTTTTTTTTTTTATGTTATATAAGAATATGTCATTCATATTCGTAGTTACTTGTCACAGATAAGTTTTAGAAACTGCAACTTTTCGTGACGGTGCTACTCGGGTTAAATCGTCAATTCATAAAAATCTTTTAAATACCTGTTCAAAATACAGCCTTATCGTGTGAAAGGCAGTGCCTATTAAATTCTATAAGTGTTGTTGCACGTTTGATGTGTCTAGGCATAGAATTGCAAACGATTATTCCTTTTTGAAATATAATGAAATGTATGATGCACAGGTCAAGAACTGTAGTGTTCTTATTTAATCCGCGTTTCAAGTATTATACCTATGAAAGTCACTTCATCTTTCAATAGATCACTGTATGCTGCCCTGTAACGTGGGCAGATCACCTTTTCGTGGCATGTTACGGGATGTAAGATCTTCCACCGATTCCTAGTCCTGACTACTTCAAACTAGGGGAACAGGGTTTTTTCAGTAATCAAAGGAACACATCTTAGTCATTGTTAGTTCTTATTCCTTGTTGATAGTGACAAGATGATCTTGAAACAAGGAAAAATTGAGTTAGTTAGTCTTCATCTATGTGATTCTTAATCTGCTATTCGTTGCTCCCTAGATTGAATTGGAGAGACTAGGGTTCTGATGCATGGTAATTATCGGTGTCTTTCCTTAATTTTGTAACTATGGAATCCAATTTTGACTGACAAAGGGGCACGCCTTAGGAGGGTGTTCCAGCACTCCGAAGGGTATAAATAGCGGGACCTTTCAATAAGAGTCGGATCGAATACTTCATCATTTTTCAATAGTGATGGAGTAATAAGACATGCACTAAACTAAGGACACGGGATATACTTCAATAGATCAAATTACTGGTCGCAGTGGTGTTAGGTCCCGAACAAAGGAAAAAAAAAGGCTGTCAGTTTGGATCTCATCACTACTAGAAACACTGGAATAAAAGACCAACGGAGACACTGTTATGATTCCAATCGAACTGTCAAAAGCAGTTCCAATCTGCAATGTTTACAAATGTTTTGCTTCAATTAGGGAGGAGTATTAAAATCGTTTAACTATCACTCATGAACTCGCTCGTCGGTGCATTGGCGAAGTCACTCGTAAGCAGTTACAAATGCAAGTGATGCCAGGATTGTTTTGATGTTTATCCTGTTGCCAAATTTATGTTTTTTTTTTCTCCGCTGGTCTCTTACTCCAGTGTTTCTAATCACTACTGACAGTATGGCGCAACCTATGAGCGAAAAGTAAACTGAAAAAAAAGAATGGAGATTTTAACATTGTTCCAAAATTATCGATTTTGGAAGGGAAAACAGAAAAAAATATTTCGTAGAGGTGTTGCGGTTTTTTGCATGCATACTAGCGACATCTATTGCATAAATCAACCATGCTTTTAATCCATTCGATCACACAAATATTGAGACAGCAAACCGTAAACTATACGTTAAAACTAAACACTATTGTCAAATACACAATTCTTTGCTGCAACGACAACCACTGCAAAGCGTCTAGTATCAAAGTTGAGGAAGTAAATCTATTACATCTCAAAATCAAACGAATAATATT